TCGTTTCTTCCCCTTCAGCCCTATTGCAGAACCCCCCTTCGCCTAACATCCTCTCACTTGAAGATGGGCCTCGTCGAGAACCCACTTCCTGGACTTCGAACCCCTTCCATTCGCTGGTGTCCCCCTTAGAACAACTCGAACCTTTGGCTCTCCTGCCCCCTCCTTTATCCTCTTCATCTGCACTCGTTTCATCCTTGACCTACCTACCCTTTGAGACAGACACCTCGGAAGATTGTTCTCCGCCTTCACCTGCACTTTTTGCTGCCTCCGACAACCCCATGGAGTGGTCTCAGTTCCCCCTCAGCATTGTCGCAGTCCATTTTGCAGACCCCTTTCCTCCTGACCTAGCCCAAATCTGTGCCCTTCTGGCCCCTTACTTTCCTTTCACCCCCCACCTGGTTCACATCTCCCGAGTTCGAACCTTCCACTTCCTGTTCCCACAAACGTTGACCCCTCACCCCCCCGGACTTGCCCATCCTTCGAACCTCCTCAGCCTCACCACTACCTAACCCACCACACCTTTCTTTTTACCACCTTGGGTCTGCTCTCTCCTTAAGTTCAACCTTATACCCCTCTACCTTTCCTACCCATTTTCAGGGTTCCCAAACCCCAGCCCTGATCTCACCACCTTCATCCTCTCCAGTTGAGGCTTCCATCCCTCCACCCACTTCCCATCCTTCTGTCTGCATATCCCCAAATACCCTTTCCTCTTGTCTTGAACCCCTACCCACTTTGCCGACAGACCTTTACCTGGCTAAGCCTTTCTCTTTGCCCTCCTCGCCCGCAAGGGAGGTTCCTAGAACACCAAACCCTCCCATCTCGCTCCCCTCGGACGAAGCTTGCTTTAAGGGGGTCGACAGGGATGGGAACAACATAGAGCTTAACAAGATGAAGGAGATTTACAGAATCATGGGATTTCAAGACGACGGGCCCGAAGGCCCGACACACCAATTCATCCTCTCGGATGCTCAGAGCTGACTGAAGGTGAGCTTCAGAGGACACAGGGAGGTCCTAAACTTGTTCTCCTTGATAAACTATGACATACCTGCTTTAGAAGAGCCCCCCTCGACTCTCCCCTACCCTTCTCCCCCTTGGGTTTCTTCTCCAAGGAGGTCTCTTAGACTGGCCTCCTCCTCTGCGTCCACATTAGCTCTATGAAAATCCTGACATGGAACGTAAGAGGCTTGGGACAGCCACTCAAACGGGATGCAGACAAGGATATGACAACAAAACACCTACCCTCCATTTTAGCCCTCACAGAGACTAAGCAGCCTGATCCTACCCTCTAATTAGTCCGCTATGTCTGGGGCATGAGGCCTTGCCAGTGGGCCTCTCTTCCTGTGGTAGGGCCATTAGGTGGAATATGGGTAGTCTTGAACCCATCGAAACACCTTCTTCTTTCTTCCCTCATCAGGGAGGACTCAGTCACAATTATCCTTTCTCGAATTTTCGATGGTTTTCACTGGAAATTCTCAGCAGACTACAACGTAAACTCTGCAACCCTCAGACCACTTTTTTGGGCAAAACTGGACCTTGTAGCTTCCCTTCCCCATTCTGCTTGGTGTCTGAGAGGGGATTTCAATATCACAAGATTGTCTTACGAGAGAAATTCCAACTCCAACATTTCTTCGGGAATGATGGACTTCTCGAATTTCATCTATCGTAACGAACTCCTTGATATTCCCCTTCAAGGCAATCGTTTCACATGGTCCGACCACTCTTCCCAACCATCTCTTTCTAAACTAGATAGATTCCTACTATCCTTGAATTGAGAAGACGTATTTCCTAGATCGCATGCACTGGCCCTATCGAAACCAACCTCGGACCACTGCCCCATCATCCTGGATACTCAAGTTGTTCAGAGAGGACAGAAACCATTTCGATTCGAATTAGCCTGGCTTGAAGAAGCCTCGCTATCCTCTCTCATTCCAACATGGTGGAACTCTTTTTCCCTCCTGGTTTTGGATAGAGCAGGCTATATGTTATATTCAAGTTCTGAAAGCCTCTGTAAAAAACTGGAGTAATTCTATCCCTGGGAACTACTCTCAAATCAAGTCCTCCCTGCTGAATACTATTCATGACCTGGATCGAACAGAGGAATCCCGGCCTCTGTCAGCTACCGAATCCAACCTCTGGATCCAAACTAAGACGAAATATTTTTCCACCCTTAAAAAGGAAGAATTGTATTGGTTTCAGAGATCTAGAGTCAACTGGCTTAAAGCAGAGGACGAAAACACTTGTTTTTTTCACCGGATAGCCAATTGCCATAGAAGAGACAATGCTATCTAGGTTGGCAATCGCAACCTAGACCAACCTGCGGAAATTGAATCAACCATCCTTGGTTTATTTCAGGACCTCTACGCGGCCCCTTCGGGTTTCAGACTTAGAATGGCCAATTTGGATTTCTTAACCCTTCCGGATCATTGGTCACAATGGCTGGAGCGTCCCTTCTCTAATACTGAGATTTTGGAGGCTATCGTTGACTTGGCCAAAGATAAAGCCCCTGGCCTTGACGGTTTTCCCATAGCCCCTTTCAAGACGTTTTAGGAAACTTTCAAAGCAGACTTTAAGAGTTACTTTGATGAATTCTTCCAACGTGGAATCCTCCATAGAGCCATCAACTCCACCTTCATCGCTTTTGTCCCCAAAATTGAAGGGGCAGAGGAACTCGCGGACTTCCGTCCAATTAGTCTGGTCAATTCCTCCTACAAGATCTTGGCTAAGGTTTTGGCATCTAGGTTGAAACAAGTCCTCCCCCTCGTCATCTCGCCCTCACAGTCTGCGTTCATAAAGGATAGGAAAATTCTAGATGGGGCCCTAGTGGCTCATGAGTGTTTGCATTCCAGACACCTATCCAAAAAACCCGGCCTTATCTTCAAGATAGATTGGGAAAAGGCGTACGACCTTGCTGACTTGTCAATACTGGATGAAACCATGTCAAGAATGGGTTGGGGACCTTTGGAGGAAGTGGATGAGGGGCTGCTACTCAAATCCTCACTTCTCAGTTCTTATCAACGGGGCTCCCAAGGGTTTTTTCACTTCCTCGAGGGGCCTTCGCTAGGCCCCCCCTCTCCCCATTCCTCTTTGCTATTGCAGCCGAAGTTTTCAGTCGCTCCATCAGTCGACTGTACGGAAGGCCTTCTCACTGGTTTCAAATGTAGTTCTCAAGGCCCAGTTGTGTCTCACCTACAGTACGCAGATGACACGTTAGTGTTCCTTGATGCTAAACTAGACAAAATAGAAAACTTGAGACTTTTCCTTAAATGTTTTGAGCTAGCTACGGGCTTCAAAGTCAATATAGACAAATCGAAGATGATGGGGGTAGCCCTATCAAACGTTGAAACCAGAGCTTTAATTCCGAACTGGGAATGTAAAGTGGAGGACCTCCCCACCATCTACCTTGGCTTACCCTTGGGCTTGGGAAAACCAAAAAAGAGATAGTGGTCTCATGTGATTGACAAAGTAGAGGTGTCTGGCAGATGGAAAGGGAGGTACCTATCCCTCGCAGGCCGGACCACACTTGTAAAAGCTACCCTAGCAAACGCTCCGGTCTATCTAATGTCCTTATTCCACATGCCTGTCTTGCTAGCCAATCATCTTGACCAACTGATGAGGAATTTTCTTTGGTCAGGGCAAGCCGAGAAAACTAAATTCCACCTCATCTCTTGGGACAAGGTCTGCCTTCCTAAACTTCAAGGAGGGCTGGGGATCTAGATCCTTAGAAAACATAACTTAGCTCTCTTAGGGAAATGGTGGTGGAGATTGGCCGCCCAGAACAACTCTCTTTGGGCACAGGTCCTTTGCAACAAATATAGAATCCTGGAAGATGCTTGGGTGCTCGAGAGGAGATCGTCGAATAGGGCTTCACGTGGAAGTCATTCGCGTCCTCCCTTTCTTTGTTCAAGCAATTCATCCGCCTCCATCCTAGAGAAGGTACAATAGTAAGTTCTGGTCAGAATTTGGCTAGGCCATACTCCTCTTAGGGACCTCTGCTCCTCCCTCTACTCTCTTGCCTCCAATAAAGCCTCCACCATCGCGGAGGAAATGGTCGTTTCTAGGGGCCGCAGAGTCTAGAATCCTTCTTTCAGACGACATCTAACAGAGGAGGAAATTGGCCAATTCTTAACCCTCTCGGATTATCTGCATTCCAACTTCATAGCTCTATCAAGGAGGGATTCTCTGGTTTGGACCCTCTCCCCTTAAGGCTTTCGGTGGCCTCTTACTACAAAAAAATAATTCAGCCACCCACTTCCCACCAAACCCCGTCTCGGTACATTCAAAGGTCTGGTCTACCATCGCCCCGAGTAAAGTGCAAGCATTCAACTGGATTGCTTGCTCCTAAAGAGTTCTCACAGTGGACCAACTTCAAAGGAAAGGAATCCCAATCCCCAACAGGTGCGCACTGTGTCTTTGTGAGGAGGAATCGAATCCACACCTATTCATTCACTGTAGCCTAGCCCACGACCTGTGCTCTGGACCACCCTGGGTGCATTGTATTTTGATTTCTTCAGTTCTTTGCTTGTATCAGGCGCCAATATTTTTGTATAAGGTCATTGTGTACTGACCTATTTTTTGTCTGGGAGACCTTGTCAGTGGGTGCTCTTGGGTCCCACTCTTGTTCCCTGATGCTTTTCCAATACATTGTTAACTTTACTCAAAAAAAAAAAATCTGTAAAACAGAAATATTGTTTACAGGTGTCAATGTGGGAATTGCGTGTCGTATTTATATACATGTATGTAATTTTCATGAATATTTTATGTCTTTCCTTTTTTTATTTTCCTTAAACTTTGGGGATATTTTCCGTTATTTTCATTGGACTCAGAAAAGACTCGGTGGGTCAACATGGGACTTGCTAAGTCACCCCAGGCGATGGCCAGTTCTCAGAGTGAGTCCGATTTTCTTTTCTTTTCATTTCTTTTCTTTTTTTGTTTTGTTTTGGAGTAATCAAGTCTGAGGTTTAAAACATTGGGACTGATTTGAGGCTTCTAATTGGTCCTAGGAACATGATACCGTCTCTTCTCCAATTTAACTTGAGAAAGGTAAGATTGTGTATTCAGTTGTCCTAGATTACAATGTCACTAATTCCACTGGAGATCTGCTTGACTGCTTTCCGAAATAATGGGAGCGGTAAAACATGCAGTAAATGAGAAAGTGTGATTCAAGCATATCCGAAACAGAAGGAGCAGGTAAACATGCTGTAAATAAAAAAGCATAATTCAGGCACAGGCATAATACTGGCCAACCTTTTGAGTCCTTCTGAATCCTGATCACTTTCCGGTTACAAAATCATGCAGGCTACAATCATTCTTAGTGAAGCATCAACAGGTTATGTTGAACAAGTTCTCCAACTTGCACCAGATGCATCGATGCATTTGGAACATAAAAGACTGCATATCTGGTAAGTGAGAGATATGAAGAAATGATGACATGTAAGATACCAATAGTTGATATCTGATCAGGGTTACTGTTAAAGGTGATAACTGTCTTCTAACCTTTATGGGATTGGATATTTGAAGAAGAGATGAGATGTGTCCTTGCACATGGGCTGATTGGTATTACAATGTATTATCCAAGGATATTATGAAGGGGATTTACTGATGGACCCAAGAAGCAAATGCAATAGTTAATTTCTGAAATGAGGGCGGTGATAAATTTTTCTTAATCTTAGATGAAGCGATAACAAGAGCTGATTCCCTGCATAAAATAAACTGGAGATCATTCTTTTGTAACCAAGCATTGGAATGAGAGAAATTAGCTAATTAGATAAGCCATAATTCCACAAAAGCAGTTAGAATCTATGAAAAGCACAAAGTCTGCTAAACCAAAATAACTTATGATATCGATATGTTAGTTTGGTTGTAAAATAGTCGCTGACTAGTTATACTCTGAATAATTTTCTCTGTTACTGAATTTCTTATGGTTGTATTCGGGTCACTCCTACTTGCATGTTTCTATTAGTAACTTACCCAACACCGTTGAGATTCAGATTTTATTCGACCTTGTCATCATAACCAACTTCAAGTTTTGACTTGAATATCTGGTGCTACGTAATTTTCCTTTTAGGTTTCTAATTATATCTCTACTGATTTAGATTATAATAAACTGTGAGGCTTTGGTTGATAAGATAATTGTTTGGCTATCTCCGTGCAGTTAAATGCTGATAAGAGCCCTTTCCAGCGAACATTTGTTAATCAGGTTTGTGTTTACTTGTTTTAAAGTTTTAGCGAGTACTCATTGTCTTGATTGCTGCTGGAGTTGGTTTTGAAATATTTGATTTCTTTTTAATGTTCTTGACATCAATTTGCTGCTCCATCTTTTTCTTTTTGAAATCATGCAAATTCAATATGGTTATGTATTCACAAGTCAAAACATAATTAACATGTGACATTGTCGTCGGCATGATTAGAGGCTTTGTTTTCTAAACACAAGTCATGTGTGTAAAGATGCATGAAGAGGTCATCCTCGGATGAAAGCTGTAGCCCATATTGTTTCCTTTATGCTCTTTGTTACGATTATCAAAAAATGTTTTTGGGGGTTCTTGTGGATCTTATGAACAAGTGCCATATATTCCCTGATGTTGTTGGCAATTTTACATGGACACGGATACATGTCTTGTGTTTAGTACATCTCCCAAAAAACTCCGTTCGACCTTGACCACGTCTGTATGATATATATACACACACACACACACACATACATATCATCATCATCTAAGTCTTATCCCAACTATTTGGGATCAGATACATGAATCTTGTTCCACCATTCTGCTCTATCAAGGGCGATACCGTCAATAAGACCATATGTCACTATTTCTTTTCTCACTACTTCCATCCATGTCCTTTTGGGCCATCCCCTTATTCTTTTAGAGCCCTTTACAACCAAATTGCATATCCTAACCGGTGTTGTATTAGGTCTACGCTGCACATGACCAGTCCATCTAAGTCTACTTGCTCTCATTTTATTACCTATTGAAGCCACACCGAAATTCTCTTGAATGTATTCATTTCGGATTCTATCTTTTCGTGTCTTGCCACTTATAAATCTCAACATCCTCATCTCGGCTACACTCATCCCATAGATATCTTGTTTCTTGACCACCTAACATTCTTTCCCATAAAGCATGATTGGTCTTACAACTGTCCTATAGAACTTCACCTTCAGTTTTAGTGGTATGCGACGATCACATAAAACTCCATATGCACATCTTCACTTCTCCCACCTAGTCTAATTCTATGGGCAACATCTTTCCCAATCTTCATTCTCCTGGACTATTGATCCAAGATATCGAAAATAATCTCTTTTATTTTCTTGGCCATCAATTTTAATTACTTCCTTGTTTCTGCTCCTATTATTACTAGACTTGCATTCATTATATTCTATCTTAGTTCGACAATTTTAAAACCTTTTGATTTTAGAGCATCCCTCCAAAAGTTCTAACTTTGTGTTGAAGCCACCCCTAGTCTTTATCTATTAAAATTATGAACAACATGAACCACGATGCCTCATCGTGTAAGTGCCAAGTTAACTCTTCCATAGCCAAAACAAAGAGATATGGGCTAAATGCTGACACTTAATGTAGGCTTACTGTCACTGAAAATTCACTCGTGGAGAGACAAGTGATTTTAGAGCATCCCTACAAATGTTCTAACTTTGCAAAGACGCCACCCCTAGTCTCATCTATCAAAACTATGAACAAAATGCACCACGTTGCCTCATCTTGTAGGTGCCGAGTTAACTCGTCCATAGCTAAAACAAAAAGATATGGTCTAACTGCTAACCCCTAATGTAGGACTACTGTCGCTGAAAATTCACTTGTCTCTTTACAAGTTATTGCTTCCTTGTAGATTTCTCTCACCATGTCAATATAACCTGTGATGATTCTTTTCTTTTCCAACACTCACCAAATTAGATCTCTAGGTACCCTAGCATATGCTTTCTCTAAATCAATAAGGACCATGTGGAGTTTTTTTCCCTTCTCTTTAAACTTCTCAATTAGTTGCTTGAGTAAGAAAATAACCTCAATTGTTGACCTCCTTGGCATAAAATCGAACTGATTTTCTAAAACACTTGTTTTATGCCTTAGTCGTTGCTCGATCACTCTCATCCACAACCTCATAGTGTAGTTCATACGTTTGACTACTCAATAGTTCGTACAATTTTGTATGTCTCATTTGTTCTTATAAATAGGTACCATAATACTTTTCTCTATTTGTTTGGCATTTTCTTTGTTCTCATTACCTCGTTGAACAACTTGGTCAGGCAGTACATGCCAAATTCTCCTATGCACTTCCAAACCTCTATCAAGATACCATATAGTCCTAAAGCCTCTCCTATCTTCATCTTTCTCAAAGCTTCTTTTATTTTAGACGTCCTAGTCCTGCAAATGTATCTATGACCATCCCCCTCATTTATGTTAAAGGTTCCTCTTAACATTAGGATCCCATAGTGCTCATCATTTAACTATTTTTGGAAATAAATTCTTCACCTTTCATTGACCTCGTCATCCTTCACCAGGACTTTTTGATCCTCACTCGTAATAAGTGATTCAAAAAGCGGACCGCCTAGCGCTTTGGCGGTCCAGAAGGCCTGGGCGCATCGCTCAGGCCTAGGCGGCCAATCTGGGCGGCCGCCTAGGCGATACGAAACCTGCCTAAGCGGGGGCCCAACGCCTAGCTTAGGGCGGCCACCCAGGGCCTGTGCCCCGCCTAGGCGTTACAGAACTCGCCTAGGCGAGCGCCCTGCCCAGGGGCGAAATTTTTTTCTTTCTTTAAAGTTGACAAAAATCGATCAAAACATCACCCATTGATATTAGATTTAAGTTTTGATGTTTTATAAATCTATTGGGAGGTTTTTAGAAGATTTTGAGTCCTTAGAAGCATCTTTGACTGGGCATCCTTTTTGGATTCGACTGGGCCGCCCAGGTTCTGGGCGCTTGCTTGGGCGCCTGCCTGGGCGCCCGCCTAGGCGCTGGGCGACCTGGACCCCCCAGGCCACCTAGGACCCGCCTAGCGCTTTTTTAAACACTGCTCGTAATATATTTAATATGTTCTAGATCCCAACACTTCCCCTCTCGTTTTTGCTAGTTTGAAGACATCTTTTTCACCTTCTTTTATCCCTAGTTTATTATATAAATTATCATATGCCTTAAGTTTAGCCTTGCCTACCATTTTCCTGGCATTTTTCTTTGGATTTTTATATTCTTCTAAGTTTGGGTCATTCTTATTACATTGCCAAGCTTTATAACATGATCTTTTTTTGCTAATAGGCTTTTAAACCTCCTCACTCCACCATCAAGTTTCCTTATCAAAAATTCTTTTCCCTCTAGATTTTCTTGAAACTTCTTTTGGGACTTTCTTAATATAAGCAGCCATCTCATTCCGCATTGGCTTCATGCTCAAAATTTCATTTTCTTTCTTTTACCAATTTATTCCTAAATAAATCTATGTTCTCTATATTTAAATTCCACCACCTAGGTCTTAGACAACTATTAATTGTACTGTTTTTCTTCCAATTTTTACTCCTTTTCTTGGATAACCACCAAGAGCTTATGTTGAGTGGTCAGACTCTCTCTTGGAATAACCTTATAGTCTTTACATGATGGACAATCTACCTTCTTAACTAGAAAGAAGTCTATCTGACTTTTAAAGGGTCCACTTTTATAAATTATCAGGTGTTCATCTCTCTTTTTAAACTAGGTGTTTTCTATTGTTAGGTCGTAAGCCATAAAAAATATCCAAAATAGCCTCACCCATGTTCTTTGTTCCCCAAAACGATATCCGCCATGTACCCTTTCATATCCTCTAGTTTCTTTTCTTACATAGCCATTTAGGTCCCCTGCTAAAAAACTCTCTCCATTTGGTATTTCTTTTGACTAGCCCATCCATGTCCTTCCAAAATTGTTTCTTACTTCTATCCTCTAGTCCTACCTGTGGCGCATTAATTATCTTCTCCCCTAATACAAGTTAAATTAATAGGAGTCTATCACCTATTCTCTTGACATTAACTACCTTATCCTCTAAATCATTGTCTATTATTAGGCCCATGTCATTTCTATTATAATCCTTCCTTATATACCAAAGTTTATATATCCATCAATTTTCTTAATGTTTCCCCCTGTTCACTTAGTTTCCTGTAGGCAAGCTATGTTAACTCTCCTTCGTCTCATTATATCCAATAACTCCAAACTGAAAACATAACTTTATTTTATGCAAAAAAGATAAAAAATACTACTATTTTTTATTTTCAGAATGATGCTTTTAGAACTTATTAGTAATACTAATAATATTTTACTAATATTTGTCAATATTTTTGATAATTGAGTTAGTACAACTATTGATATCTTCCTGGAATGAACCAAGCTCAATTCACACTAGTTAACATTTCAAAATATACAAAATAAATTTAAATTTAAAATAATGATAGCATAAAATCGTTGAACATTTATTTGCAAAAAAATGTTATCTGCTAAGGTGTTTTTCCAATCAAACAAGGCTCCAATTAACAACTAGTATATAATTATTTATTCACTCCCATTGTACATATGTGCTTGCTTGGCGTGGTGGTAGCCTTTACTTTCCATCCGCCACACGTCACATGTTCCATTCTTCTTGGTCATGATTACATATATATATTTTTGATACTGTTAACCTTTAATAGATGAAAAGAAAGAGTACAAAAGGCCTTGGCAATCCACAGAGGAGGATGCTCAAGGGAAATTAGAACGAAAGAGTAGAATCAAGCCCTTCTTTAGGTGGTTACAATGGAACATAGCAACCAAATAAAATAGGTCGATCCAAAGAACTAGAATAGGACTGTCCAAAAAAGTAAAAAACCCAAAAAATTACCAGTTGTCTGCCATCTCTGTTGCATCTTTGGTGAGCGTATCAACGTCCTAGTTTCTGTCCCTCCATGTATGCATCCACACGACGGACATATTCCTGCAGAGGTGATCAATCTCATCAAACAAGTGTGCCAGGAACCAAGGGGGGGAGAGAAAGAAAGTCTTTGAGCGCAATAAATGGTGTTCTTGGAGTCTCCCTCCACCACTAGAGAATGTAAGTGGAGGGGGTCTATGAACTTTAAGCCTTCCAACAGTGCTAGAGCTTTAGCTTCCATGGAGCTGGCGTGGCCAATAAATTTGGAGACAGTGGCCGGTGTAGAGTTGAGGTGGTCCCTAAGGATGGCTCCTTCTCCTG